AGTCTCTATCTGGGACACTCATGAGAGTGACACACTTCTTGATTTATTAAATGTCATCATCCTAAATGGACTAATTGATTTTCTTGAATTTTTTTTTTTTTGCCAGTGGAGGTGCATTACACAAGACATCACTCACATTATATATGGGTGCTGTAACTCAATTCAGACTACTCTTTTGTTAAATTGATGATTTCATTTATTATTGTATTATTATTCATTCCGCACTGTAATCCAATTGTCTTAACAATCTCAACACAATTTTCATAAACTCTCTATATTTTTCTTCTGGAATTTCATCATTGCTAAATCAAGCCCATTCATATCTCTCAACATAAGCATGTCCCAATGTATCATCAATTACTTTACTTTCAATAAGAAAATCTATATATCTTTTTACTACATAGTAGGATGTCGTTTTAGAGATAGTGAATGTTTTAATGCTGCTTGTTCTACACAAGTATATATTTATATGTAAAAATAAATACAAGTAATTTTAATAAAGTAAATAATAGTAAAAAATAATAATTTATTAGTAATATACCAATTAATCCAAATGTATCAACAATTGATGTTTGAAAATGGATATTTTCATATGAAGAACCTATTGGGAAAAATTTTTAAATAATAAAAATTAGTTTACACATAACAATAAAAATATATTATTTTATTAATAATTACTAACCAGGACAACCCCAACCTATTTGACCATTATCTTCAGGTCTTGGCTCACCAGACCAAGCAATCATTGAAACATGATTAAGTTCATTTGTAATTAAATTATTCACAGACTAAAAGTATATACATATACACATACTCATGTTAATTAATTTATTATAGTGTAAATAACTTTAAATCATTTCAAATATTATGTTTATAGTCATCTTATCTACTGTTGATAAATATTCCTTACTAATAGGCAATTTAGATTTAGGTATACTAGTTAAAGCATTCCTTACAGTAAAAAATCGATATAAACAAATAATAACTACCATGAATCCCTAAAAACATATTTAAAAGGTGAAAGAAAAAGAAAAATTCAAATGTAAATAAAATTTTTAAAAATTTTTTTTCACAACCCTTTGTTTTATTTTTTACCATTATCAAATAACTACCACCAGCAATAAAAGCTAATGCTTGACTCTTTTTCATAGCACGTAACAATATATCAACAGCACATATTATAATAGCTGCTAAAGATATAAGTGGTGTGGTCTTGTAGACAATATTTATAAAACCAATTATAATATTATTCATTTTTGTAACGTAATTTTTTGCAGATATTTTCGAAATTTATATATACACTGGTTAGCAGTGTTGGAAACATGACCAGGTCATTTTGATTTTTTGACCTAGGTCACATCGAAAATGACCTATAGCCACTGGTCACCAAGGTCATGTAGGAAGTGACTAAATGACATGACCAAGTTTCAAGATTAGTAATAGCAAAAATTTATAATTAATAATAAACTATATATTAAAAAACGTAAAACATTTTTTTAATGAATTACTTTTGTTGTATATGTAAGGCGTGGTTTTCCATTCTTTATAAATCCCAAAAACTCTTTTATATATGAAATGTCAATTCTCCTTTAATTTGGTGAGTTCTAGGATTTAATGCATCATCATAAGTTACCATTATAAATTAATAGTCATGTGAAAATCAATGTAATAGTGTGCATATTATCATCGGTCAATTTTCTTTTATTTAGATAAATTATTTACAATATTAAACAAGTACAATGTTTATTGAACATCCAATGCGTTTTTCTTCCTAATCACTCTTAATATTATTAAGAGGAGGGTCAGTTTCAGCATTGATAACACTTTTAGCAACTTTTTTTGCTTTGTTAATGCAATGATCAATACCATTTTCATATGACAAAAGAGCTGGTTTAAAGAATTTAGTATAAAGAACTTGAGCTCCTTTGAAACCTGGAAGGAAAAGCCTGCATATAATGAAGAGTGTATAAGATAAATATGAGAATGTGGATATGGAGAATGTGGAAGAAAAAATCAATTATAAAATTAAAAAATTTATTTACCAGAGGAAAAAAATTGTTTTGAAAAAGAAATAGAAA